ATACTAGTGTTAAAAGGTGGAGAGTGATAAATTATTTTTTAAAAAAAAACTTCCTCAATGAAGACATTTGCGACAATGGAGGAATCAAATGTCAAAAGTGTTAGCTACTCTAGAAGAAATATCAAGGCTTTGTTTACGCTAGATGATAAACATAAACAAGTAGTAAATTTCGCAATTACACTCTCAAATATATTGCATTCGCATACAACTACTTACAGGACAGAATATATGAAATTGAAATTTAAATCAGGAAAAAAATGATTTAATAAGGCATTTGCGTGAGACTTACTATAATATTCGCAGCTAGAGTACCACCACAGAGAAGAAAGAGCCGAGGGGAATGAGCCATAACATCCGTCGGCGAACGAAGCATCCAAATCCAGGAGGTGACAAAGACGAAGACCGTACCAACAAGAGGTCGCACTAAGCCATCCCAAGTGGGGATTTTTGATCGATCGCGTGAACAATCTATTAGGACATTGGCAACACTGATTGGAATTGCAAGGAACCAGAAAACACCTGTAGGTAAAATTAAATTGAGTCAAATTAATCCATGTAAATATGCATCACCTTCTTTTTACTTCGCTAACAAAATACAAAAAAATGAATCAATTTCAAATTGCAACTTAAGACAACTAATAATTCTGTAAATCACAAGATGAGAAAATTTTAAAGTGGCTTATTCTAAAATCAGATGGATGTAAGCTGATATGTACACTCCTGAGAATCAATGTGTGCACCACAATTATAAACAACTTTACAGCTAAGTTTAAACGGGAAGGATTTCTGCTAAATGCTCAGAACATGAAGGTCATTTTGATTATAGCAAAAACCACACATATTCATTAGGCCTTAGGAGTTAACAATAATCATTTTTTACTCAATAAATGCTATATTTTAAGCTATATCGAAACATCGATATGAAATTTTAATTTGACTTATTTAATAAAGAGATTAAATCAGCACCTACAGAAAGCGGAAACGCCATAACTAACAAGTTCATTCTGTTGCTAGCAAGCTAAAGAAATAATAGTAAAAATAAGTAGTAGCGAAAATGGAAATTATTACTAACTTATGATGATAGAAAATTGGCAAAAACATTTTGTCTCCAAATTTACCAAAAAATGAGGAATAAAACAAAGCGATCCAATTCCAAAAGGATTTTAACTTGTCAGGACTAAAAACTCTAAATTCTACTCTTCTCTCCGTTCAATAAATGCAATAGGGAAAGCAATGAAATATACTCAACAGAGCTTTTAAACCCGTTACAAACAACGCGAGTGATCAAATAAGTAAAACGATGAGAAACCAAAATTAAATACTTACCATGAGCTAAATGGGGTATAATTTGTGAGATTGTCCTTTGGGAAAATGGAAGAGGATTAAGCCATATTGAAGGAGATGATATGAATGTAGTAAGAAAGAGAAAGACTGTGACCTGGAGTATAAAGAAAATGAAATAAAAATTTGAATTACAAGTGAATCTTATTCTATGAATCAGAACTTACAACTTGACCAATATCGTAAGACCACGGTAGGTAGAGAACACCCGTAATGGATTTTTCCCAGTGGGCAAGAAGAAAGCCAAAAATGATAAACCATTCACAATAAAATAAGATGCTAGATTCAATTTGACCAGCAAAAAGAGAGAACAAAATAGGTGGGAAAAATGCAGCTGTCCAAGCATCGCAACAGTGATCCATTAATTCTCCAAGAGGAGATGAAAGACCCAACCTTCGTGCTTGTTTTCCATCAATGCCATCTTTAATAAAAAATATTAGAGATTTATGTTAAAATACCTAATGTATGAGATACAAATATTAAAATTGCTGAAAGTAGCCAAATAAAACGAGGAGTTTCGTAAGGAGATTTTAAATCCCAATCATATTTAGTAAGGATGAGGAAATTTAAAACAGTAAGTCCAAAACCGACGACGGTGAGAGTGTTTGGGGCTATCCATTTAGGGCAGTACTGGAAGAAATAATTAAAATGCTAGAACATACACGAACAACGTAATTCCAAAAAGGATGCATAACATATTTTGAGAGTGGGCTAGTGTCGATACAAGCATACTTGTGCCTGCGGGCACCATCCTTCATTTGCTCAGTAAAAACTAGCATCTATGTTGTATAATTTATTGCTAAATTAAATCCAAGAGACAACGAAAATACCACGTGTTGGTAAATAACCCGATCGTCCTTGTGATATGGTCACTAGGGCTGTTTAATAAATTGCATAATTTCGAGGTCATTGTATTAAAAAAATAAAATGCCTTCATTAATAATTCATATTATAATATTTGAAATAATTATCAATGAAAAATTATCTTAGTCGATAAAAATAATTAATGGTAATTAATAGCACAGGAATTATCAATGTGAATTAGTATTTCATATATGAAGAATTATGTGGTTTTATCAAATCTATTGCAGTTACCTAATTTGGGCATTTTTATTTCACCATACGCTGATAATTCAACTGAGCTATATATAGAAATAAGCTATAAAACAAACTAGATAAGTTCACTAGCGTGCTAATACCAGATAATTCTAAGTTAAATCAAAATTTGAAAACTTTGTAATAGCATAAATAAAGTCATATGTTACACTCTAAATTTTCAGAAATTAACCAACTGCTATGTTTGACTTTTTGCGAAATCTTTACAACAAAAGCCTTTGATTGGTCTTTTTATTTGCTTTGTAGGCCGAAAGAACTAATGAGTTGATCTGGTGAATTAGGGATTATAAAATCGTATTAATTCCATTTTTATTATTCATTATATCAGCACCCCTGGAATGACTTTCATTCAATGTATCAATTACGTAATTATTTTGCCTCAAGTAAATGAAAATAATTGGCCGTTTAAAAAGCAAATAATTAATCGACACGTGTTTTTTGATTCTGGTACTTTTTCGCACGCATTTGCATTCATATACGGCAGTTCAGTTTCGTCACAGAAAATTGCTTGTATTTAATGAAATTATTTAAATTACGTACGAATATGAGTAATATTTGTTATCTAGCAGTGTGAATAATAAGCCATGGAAGAAAGTACAGATGAAATATGTATCAAACTATTATAGACTAGTAATTTCAAATTTATTTAAAGTCTATTTTCCTGATTAAGGGAAAGCACATTCTTCTGAGATAATTCATGCAGATAACATGGGATGAAAGTATTTATTTATATCAAATGGCAGGCGTCTTGATGGTTATCATTAGCCCTTTAGTTGACTTCAGACTTCACAGAGGGGAAGGAACATCAAATTGAAAAAGTCGAGAGGGCGAGGGGGGAACAGAAGAGTGCAATTGCCAGTTAATAGACCTTTTAGCCATATAAGTATACGTTGCCCAGGGTGCACCACGTGGAGGCAAGTCTATTGCGCACCCCGTGATTGAAAAGTATAACTCCCCAGAAGACTTGACAATTTGTCGGCTACTCCAGTTCAAATAATTAGTATAAATGAACTGTCGTAAATGTGCTGGCTTATGCGTTAACATGTTTTGATTTTATTTCATAGGGGATGCCTCCGGCCTGGCGTCAATGGCTTCAAGACTCCAACATATCTCCTCGAGAGCGCAAACAGAATCCGGAACTTGTCATCGAAGTACTCCAGTGCTATGACGCAGCCACTCAGAATGCCAATCAGCAAAAATTTATGACCCAGAAAGGCAGTTGGGGTATGCTACCTCTCTTAATTCTTAGGGGCATTTCTTTTAACTGGACAACTTATAGTAGCGACAAGTTTCTCATGTAGAGGCGCCTGCTTCAAATCTACTCTAATGTTAGTAGTGGTAAGGACGAGAGAGAGAGAGAGTGAGACGGATTACCATAATAACTGTCTTAAAACAACCTTCCAATATAGCTATATATAGTCATTACTACCTTCTCTTTTATTTTATAAGGTAAAAACGTGCTATCAGCCCCGTTGCAGTTGCTATCTCTCTTATCACAATGGCTGGTCTCTTTCTGCAGTTTTTCTTCCACGAAATATAACTTTAAAATTGGGCTATTGAACACATTCGAACTATTAAGTCGCATTGGCAGTCAAATATGTACTGACGTTTTGAAAGTGACTGAGATTTGGGAGTTGAGTACATAACCACCGCATGGAATTTTATGAACAAACCCCCCCCCCCCCCCACCCTCCCCACTTGTACCATCAAAGTCTATAGTAAGATAAAAGAGTGATTTTGAGAATAAATAATGAAAATAAGTAAACAAAGCAAACAGAGACAGAAACAACAAATCACGATGATGTAGAAGAATAGCTCAAAAATGGACAAATCAGGTTTTTGAGTCACTTTTCTTTTAAGCTGCTTAATTTTTTTCCCTTTTTTGAGTTTGTTGGAATGAGAAAAAATAAGAAATTAATCTATATATGCAAGTGCGTTCACGTAGATTATTAGATACCTCTGACACATCGGCCATAAAAATTTATTTATTTATTAATTTATATCAAATGGCAGGCGTCTTGATGGTTATCATTAGCCTTTTAGTTGACTTCAGGCTTCACATCAAATTGAAAAAGTCGACAGGGTGGGGAACAGAAGAGTATCTCAAAGATGCAATAAAGTAACAGACAGACACAAAGGTGGAAAAAAAGTTGAGATGAGTACTGTGGAAATATTCGAATATGGCATCGAGTGAGGTGATAGTAGTTTCTGCTGGAGCAAAATATGCATGGGAAGAAAGTATAAATAACATAAATCACTCGAAATATATTGACAGTGAAGCCATTTTATATATTTTACGATACTTCAAAAAGATTGCCTGAGGAGTTTAAAGCATTATTGATATATTTTAATTCGATGTGCAAAATACAAACTATCTAATGTAAGACCCTCTAAATTATGTGTTATTCGAAGATAGGAAATAATACGTGGAAGAAGAGCTGTAATCCTTCGTTTATTCTCATTTTCCTCTTTAATCATATTTAGAACCACAGTAGGCATACGAACATACGCCCCATTCCATGATAATAAAGATAGGTTTTCAGAAAATTATGGATTATCATATATCATAAAAAAGATCTTTTGTTCTATTTTACAAGAACGATTAATATTCTATTGAATGATATTAACCAAGATTTAAAATATCACTGCATGAAATTCGCAAGAATATTAAAAAATTATTAGCAATTATTTGATGTTATGCATAAACAGAAATATTTAAATTAAGCATTATTTACTAAATCAAAAGTAATATTTGCTTAAAGACGAGTTTTGCATGGTCTCAATACAGAACTGTAGTTTTGGTAGATTCTTAAAATTGTATTTGATACCAGAAAACAAGTTTCAACGTACTTGGTATTTTCGGTGACTTTGAAATGCTGGTTATGAATTATTAGAATTATTATATAATACTAGTAATATTATGAAAAATAATTCAGCAAATTTTATTTCAAACTTCCATTCGCTTAAATATCTGTTAAAATCAACAATTTTTCCCCGCTTATATTAACTTATCTTCACTGATATCCTCTTCTCCTTATATGTGTGTGTTTCTAATATTACAGCCATCTTCATTTGGTGTGAAATCCTTTTGAATTGCAAATTGTAGAAAATAAAATTTATTGGCTATTGGGTTAATTTATCACAACTATTATAAATTAAATTTGTAATAAGTAGGATTAAATTGATTGTTACGCCATATAACATAAGCTCATTACTATTTACTCAAATTTCAGAGCAGATGTCGAGAAGTCCATCAAGGCATAAGCGTACCTCTCGACATTCTGGCACTGTTAATGGAAACTCATTGTCAGTCTCCAAAACAATTCATCGGTATACGAGAGATGTCGAACATTCATCTCGTCACCGCAAACGTCATTCTATTAGCAGACGCTCACCAGAGAATTGTGAACAAGTTTCTTTTTCTAAGCATCGAAATCGTAACCGCTCTCAATCCAAATCACCTCGTATTCAACACCGCGATGTAAATAAAAATTCCAATAGGAGTAAAGAGTATTCGTTCTCTTCTTCTGTCTCTCCTGATGGTGTTCAAAAACTTAACTACGTTAATAACAGAAGATTTTCAGAAACCTTCAGTCCATTCTTATCCTCACCTCGATCTCCTGATTCCTCTTTTGGAAATTCACTCTTCGATGACATTCAAGAACGTACGTTGCCTCTACTGCACCTTACACCTTTTTATGTGTTAACTTTCATATCATGAATTCTCTTTACATTGTTGCTTGACTCCTAGTTTTGATATTTTCACTTTTCTTTCGTAATGATGGTACTGATGTAGATGCGTATGGTTTGGATTTGAAAATCCTCTTTAAATTAAATGCATTTTAATGCCTATCATTGCATTATTACTACCAGAAATGACTGGTTTTTTTGCTCCCATTTTTTGAAATGTGTATGAAGGTATTCTTGACACTGGGTTTCCTCATTGTCTTATTAAAAAATGTTCCAACAAATTCATAGAGCAGCTTTCTGTTTCTCGTTCTAGCTATCTTTCTTTACCCTTTTTGGTATAAATTTAAGATAGCCATGTATTAATGGGAACTAAGTAAGCCACTTACGCTTTGGGAATCACCTCTTTTTATTGGATGAAATTATTTCGCCTTAGAAGTTAGAGTCCATGGGTTTGGTGCTCATAGATCAACAATTTTATCAATCTCACTGTAATGGAAAGGAGGTGAGGAATATGAGTTTCAGGGAAACATTGTCAATTATGCTCCAGAGGAAAGTTGTTTTTAGAGTAGATGAAGAGCTTAGAGTGGTTTGAAATAGACGTCCATATCAACTCCTCAGTTTCATTTATTTTTGTCCGTTTTGATTTACTTTTTCGTCCTATAGTAATGATTTTTATTGTTGCCCTGGATATAAATCATTCTTATATTTGACAGTCAGTGATTATTCTGTGTTGATTTACTTGGCCATTTTCCTGCTCCCATTTTTTTAGTAGTGGGGATGGTAGGGCGGGGGGGGGGGGGGGGGGGGGGGGGGGGGGTTATAACTTTCATTCATAATTTTTTTTCTAATTTAGATGGTTGCTTAATGTGTATCGGTGTCGTAGCAGACGGTACTCAATTTTTAAAATACGTATAGTCGTGCACCTATGGAGCCGAATTGTTAGTTGTCGTAGTTCCAGAATTTTGGTAAGAAAGGGAGGGCAGGTTTCGAGTTTCTCACCTCGGCATTGTCGAACTTTCCTCTTTGAGTTTGAAGTTATCTTAACTTTTATTGTCTTTTAGTTTGAAATTACCTTCCAGTAGTGGCCTCGCTTTGCGCTTTTAGTACCTTTCATCAAATTCCCTTTGTTAAGACCTGGAGCACTTCATAAGTGGCCTTGCAACCTAATTGGACTAAAGTAAGGCGCACACGCTTGGACGCTGAATTGCACTGGGTCAAGGGGGCCTTTGG